TCATCATTTTCTTTACTTTCATCCACATTTGGTCTTTCTTGACTTTTTGACGGGGGAACATCATTAGTCTCATTTTCTATTCCATCCAATCTTTTCAATTTCCTTGGTTTAGAATATTTTGAACCAAGTGGTCTCCTACGCTTTCTGCGTGCTTGAGATTCATTCTCAATTGCCTTATTATCATTTGGGATTTCAATACGTGCAGGGGCATTTTCTGCTGGTATATGTGATTTTGTCACCTTCTTTGTGTCTACAAATGCATCAGGCAATTGATTTGCAACACTTTGTAAATGAACAATTTTCTTGACTTCTTGTTCACACATATTTGTTCATGGATCTAACATCAACAGTTGTGTTGCATTCCAAATAAGTTCTATTTCTTTCTTGCGTGGGTTCACTTCCTCTCCCCCTAAGGCTGGGAATACTGCTTCATTAAAGTGACAGTCGACAAATCTAGCCATAAATAAGTCACCAGTCAATGGTTCAAGATATTTAATTATAGAGGGGATTCAAACCCAACATAAATTCCCAGCCTTTTTTGTGGACCTATTTTTGTTCGTTGGGTGGAGCGATGGGAACATATACAGCACAACCAAAGATTTTTAGATGTGAGATACTTGGTTCTCGACCACAAACAAGTTGTAGTGGTGAGAATTTATGATAAGCTGTAGGTCTCAATCTAATTAGTGCCGCTGCATGTATTATCGCATGTCCCCAAGCAGATGATGATAATTTTGACCTCATTAATAATGGTCTTGCAATCAATTGCAATCTCTTAATTAGTGATTCAACTAGACCATTTTATGTATGAACATGGGCTACTGGGTGTTCAACATCAATTCCAATTGACATACAATAATCATTAAATGTTTTGGATGTAAATTCCCCAGCATTGTCGAGTCTTATTTTCTTTATTGTATGATACGGGAATTGTGCTCTTAATTTGATAATTTGGGCAAGTAATTTTGCAAAGGCAACATTTCTTCTTGAAAGCAGACTGACATGTGACCATCGTGTAGAAGCATCAATTAAAACCATGAAATATCGAAATGGTCCACATGCCGGATTAATTGGCCCACAAATATCTCCCTGAATTCTTTCCAAGAATTTTGGAGATTCAATAGCAATTTTGTTCATAGATGATCTTATTATTAATTTGCCAAGTGAACATGTAGAGCATGTCAATTATGGTAGGTTTATCTGTTACTGTTTTGTACAAGTGTAAAAATATCATATAATAGTTTAATGTACTGGCAAAATTATGGTCCAAATATAAGTATTTATAATTGTAAAAGATTATCACACTGGGAATGCAAGCCATAGTGGTCCGAGAGCCCTAATATCTATAAAAGATCATGGGTTCGAAAACTGAAAGAAACACAAAAAGTACGTAAAAGAAAGAAAAATAATAAGTATAAAAAGGTTGCATCTTTGTGTCAATTTAGTTAATAATATGTATGCAAAGTTACTACTAAACAATTAACTAAAATTAAATTTTACATAAAAGATGAGTATGTAATTTCAACATGCATGAATCAAACAAAAACCAAGATACCAACATGAATAAAACAAGGGAGGATTGTAATGAATTCATAAGTAAGAGAATATTTTTTTTTCACCGTTGTTTTTGAGATATATGATATAGTAAATGCTTGAGTTTTTAGTATAGAGGATCCCAAATATGGGCAACTATAGAGCATACTCCTCAAAACATTTAGAAGTAGATAGTATTATTTATAATTTTGAGAAGTAGGTATAAATATACCTGAGTAGGAATTGATGCTGATAACGTGTTAAAGATTTTACCGATAGGAAGTTTTTTTAATCACTGAAGGAAGAAGTAAGAAGAATTGAAATTGTAGTAGTGCCCCGGCTATATGCTTGCTTGTGTAACTTACACTTACATGTCATTGTATATAAAGCCATGAGTTATAGAGTACAATAATTACTCACATATAGTCATATGAGTTCACAAGTGTTTGGACCTATATGAGCATTGTATGATCAAATCAATAATTGGCATTCACCTTATTAGACTTATCTTCTAACATATATATATATATATATATATATATATATATATATATATATATATATATATATATATATATATATATATATATATATATATATATATATATATATATATATGACATTACTTCATTTTGAAAGGAAAAAATTGTTTTTGACCTTTTATAAACCATACAGTGAAAAAGATACCGTAAAATTTCGTAAAAGTTTATTATAGTTAAATTAATTGGAGCCGTACATCAAGATTTACCATTTTAGAGAAGATTTGGCTCCTCATAAATAGATCTAAATGCAATTATTTATTTGATCAATTGAGATAATGATTGGATCAACTCTTGATTGAATGATCTGATTATTGAACACACTTTTTCAATTTAAGTTGACTTAGCTTGAATTGATGACCTGACAATTGCTTAGCTTGAATTGAGCTTGAAATTAACCCTACTTGAATTAAGCTTGCCATGTTGACTGGGCCTTTGACTTGACATGTTTGAAAGAGGGTTGAACCTTCTTTAGGCTAATAATCGAATCATTTGTGGACTGAACCAATTAGGGTGAATTGGACCCAAACAATAATTATAATAATAATAAGAAAGAAAGGTACACAATAGTTAGAATAGTCACAGGAATTTTCGTAATAGGTGGACTAATGAATACGGGTGTCAATTCAGATAAACAGTTCAGGTTTGGGTTGGGTTTATCAGTTTCGGGTTATAACGGGTTGAAATAATTAGCGGGTCGGTTTGGGTCAGTTTTGAAAATTATCGGGTCAGTTCGGTTTGGTTTTTTTAATTGCAGTATCTATTCGGATCGGGTCCTTATCGAGTCGAGTTCTAGTCGGTTCGGGTCATAATCAGTTTGGGTTGAATCGGGTCGATTTGCAAACGGGTTTAGCCCGTTTGAAGTGGGTTTCGGTTAAAGACAGTTCGGGTCTTAATCAGGTCGGGTCGTAATCGGTTCGGGTCATAATTAATTTGAGTTTCGGTTTAAAACAAATCAGGTGAAATCGGGTCCAATCATTATCGTTTCAAATTATAATCGGTTTGGATTGAACTTGGTAGGTTTGAAAACGAGTTTACCCAATTTGAAGCGGGTTTCAGTTCAAATCATATTGGGTTAAAATCGAGTTGGATGATTATCGAGTCGAGTTAGATTGATAACGGGTAGGAACAGGTCATGTTATAATCAAGTCAAGTCATAAATAAGTTGGGTTTATCGAGTAGTGGGTTGAAACGGATCAGATCATAAACATATTGGGTTACGGGTTGTAAATGACTCAGTCATAACGGGTTACGGGTCGTAAACGGTTCGGTCTCAACGGGTTACGGGTTTAAAACGGTTTGGCCATAACGGGTTACAGATTATAAATGGTTCGGTCACAACGGGTTATGGGTTGGAACAATTTAGGATTATCGGATTTTTGCTGGGTTTAAACGGTTTTCGATTTAAAATGGGTCGGGTTTTTATCGGGTTTAGACGTAATCGGTTCAGGTTGTTTTCAGTTTCGGGTTGTAACGGTTTGGCTTTATAACGGGTCGGGTTAGCAACGGTTCGCACAAATTCGGTTCAGTTCAATTTTGGGTTGGAAAAAATTGGGTCGGGTCGGTTTTCGATTTCCAAAAAACGGGTTTCTAACAGTTCAATTCCTTTTCGAATCGATTCGAAACAGTCGGGTTTATCGGTTCGGGTCAGAAAATGACTACAAAAGTGTAATCCTACTGGTTCTATCACTATTTATGCCTTCGAGATGAAGTTGCATTAGAAAATGGTCCCAATCCTTTAGTTGATAGTTTTAATGAATGTGTCACGTACTCTTGTTTGCTGTCATACTCCGTATCATAAAGGAGATTTATCAATTATAAGTAGGGGAGTGAATTGTTAATCGTCGTATTTAAAAGTTTTTAACATTAATTGATTGCGCATAATTAGCTGTCGGAGACAGAATGTTAATGTGGTGAGAACTAAGACGAACATGTAAATATGTGGGATGAGTTTCTGAAAACTATGCGATTTTTTTATAAAAAAAAAAGTGTAATATGGGGTCTGCCTTAAATGAATTATAATTAAACAATACAAATAGATCTACAAAAGCTAATATTTCAAAAACTTAAGTAGTACGGAGTATTAAGTTATCAAGCACTCTTTTGGTTGAGTATATTTTGGTGCTTTAAGTTAAATTAACTCTAAGATCTTGAACAACTCCAAAAAAATTAAGATGTTTTTTTGAATTATTGATCGAAGGGAGGTGAACATGCACATTTTAGTATTTTACTAGTTAAAAATTCGTATATGTCAAAGTAATTTAGTGTTACTGAAAAATAGCGTTATTTATTTATTTATTTTAATATGCAGCAATTCAATCATCTTAAGTAAAAAAATTATATTTATCAATGGAAATTGAAGTTTATTGATTACGATTTAATGATAGTACTTATTAAAATCGATAAATTTATACTAATGCTAATTTTTAAGAATGTTGTAATGTACTGAGTACCGTGCCTTTGTACGATCTTTATCTTAATAAGCACAAATATATAGCTCGAGGATTATTATTAATAGTCCAACAAATAGTAGATTACATTTATGAGGGGATCGATCGGATGGATTAAATCGAAGTTATTCTTAGATCTCATCTTTATTAGAAAGGCGGCCGTCTAGCCAATATAGTTGATAGATCAGACAAAAAGTTCGTTCTTAGCTAGATCAGTACGTATGTCCTTTTACTACATTTATATCAGCGAGGTAACATGAACTGTCCTATCAGACCAAAACCTCTTATATGTAAATCTTGTCAAGTTAACAGGTTAGACAATTTGAAATCGAGTAGAGAGGGAAGGTTAAGGTAAATCCCTTTTATCAAATGACCCTATTAGGAATTGAATTACCTTTACTCCGTACCACATTATTAGATGCTTACTTGCTTAGTGATTCATCCAACAATTATGATTTATGAAAATACGCGGTTACTCTTTAACACGAAGCGAAAATATAGCTATGAAGAGGCACACAATGTAGTAAATACTACATAAGTGGTAGTAGTTAACTAGTGATTTTATAACTAGGAAGTACAAATGACAATGCATCAAACAGGAAATACAAATGACTCGCCGTAGATCGGCTCGCATTAGGACTCAATTTTTATTATACACTCGACTAGATGAGTTCGTTGTTGGGCCACTCCTATGTAGCTCCATCTTTCTGATCTGCTACTACATTTGCTGTTTAGTGGATGCTGCGAAACAAACCAATTTAAACAAATATGTTAAGTTCATCATCAACATTATTAGTACTCGTATAAAAGTCACTAAAATGCTTTAGACATTAGTACGTAGTTTGTTATATTGTTTTAAATATCGTACATATGCCAAATATGGGCGATGTTGTGATGATCGTTAGCTAACTAATTATAATTAATTTTTATATATGCTATAAAAGTATAAATTAGAATGGTGCATTAAAGTTTGCTACATCTAATTTCTTCGCTTTATAACGAATTGTTATATTGTGTGGGTAGGCAAAAATGTTTTAAAGAGAGACTGTAAAAAGAAATAAGACAATCTTTAAGGAACACAAGGAGTACATAAAGGAAATAAACATAGGCAAGAGAACGAGGAAGAATAACATACGCGTTACAGTTGGTGTTGGGGCTGATGGCGTAGGGAATCTTAACGCCACACATGCCTGGGAGACTAGCAGCCTTTCCGTAGTTAATACCGGAAATGGCACGAGAAGCAGTTTTCAGGCAATTGCATGCAGTTTTCCTGTCAGCAGGGGTGGCAGCTGCTTGGTTGAGGGATTTAATCCCAGCACAGCAAGGGCCGGATGGACCGGGGCCTCCCTTCAAGAAGGAAATGCACGGGCCAACTTTGCCCGAAACCAAGCCGCAGTTTATTGCAGCCTCGGCGAGTGGTGCAGCCACCACAAAGCACATCACAAGTGCACAAGCTAACTTGACAAAAGCTGAGCTTGCCATACTTGCTTACTAAGTTTCTTTTGTTTGGAGAATAGGTATTAAGAAATATTGACTTTTTCTTTGGTTTTGCTTTTGCTTGATGAATAAGATAGTTTACTAAAGTGGTCTATTTATAGAAGATGTTTAGGAAGTGTGAACTAAATATGGGACATAAATTTGTGGTGATGCTTAAATCATTTGGGCAAGTAGGTTGTTGGTAGATGAACATTGGCCCATAATATATTAATTACCAATATATTTTGCCTTGCTCATTGGTTTAGTACCTTTAGTCGTTAAATCATGGTACTATGGCCTAATTAATACCAAGGCCTAACGCTTGTGATGTAAAATTTGCATAATCAAGTTAGTAAAAGAAGTTTCATTAATTATTAGGTGTGTTTCTAAGATTTAATTGAATTTACCTATTATGATGAATGTAATGATTTATTAATACGTAGAGTACTGTTAAATTCGTACGCAAAAGAATAATCTGATAATTTTTTTGCGACCTAGTTAGCTTACTTAGCTAGATCCAACTTGTTAGTGACTTACCGCTAAGAACTTTGTTGATCAAACAGTGTTAAACTATTATTATCATTAAATTTATTTGGTTTTGTTTTAGACGTTTTAGGTAGTTAGTAATAACCAAACTTATTGCTCAAAACCGGAACTAATAACAAAAGGAAAAGAGGTATAATTTTAATCAATAAGTTAGAAAATTGAATCTCAAACATTACATGCTGATTGATATTCTAATATTATAATAAGTGTTTCAAATTATCTTACTTTGGCAAAGTTAATTATACCATACTAAAGTTATAAAATCATTCAACAAATTAAAAATCAGTTACTTATACTTCATTTTATTAAGTCAAGACATACCGCGGTCATTTGAAAAATGACTACCATATATTATTTTAATTGATTAGGGGATTTTGCTCCCACCAATCGGAATGCGCCACGTGGGCCAATCAGGTCCTACCAAGTGTCCCCCAATAGGACCTCTCAGGGCTTGCCACGTGGCACACGCTTATTCGTCCACCCTGGACCTATTATGTCATGACACGTGACATACTCCATGCCTAATGGAGAAGTCGGTCACCTAGGCCCAACTTCCGAGGGAAGCCCAATCAGCCCAAGGTTAACCTAAACCTAGGATTGGCACGTTTCCCGAGGTTATAAATACCTCCCTTAATCCTCATTAAGAGAGATTACGCAGATTACACACATTAAACACTCTCACCTAGAGAGACCCAATCACTTTAATTTCCGCATTAATTACTCCTTAATCGAGTACTAACTTGACCGTCGGAGGCGGATCTCCAATCATCCGGAGCATCCGTTTGTTTTGCAGGTACAGGCGTCCGGTTCCAGTCTCGGAATTGTAACTCTCCCGCAGGACTGCTCCTTCTTGGGGGTCTTGGGGGTTCTAGGGCAGCCGCTTCCTCTTCCTTCCCCCCCCCCCCTAACTCGCCAGGGGAACGATCTGGGCACTGTCTCGGAGAGAGGCTTGGTGAAATAGACATGTCTGTGAAGATGCGGACTACCTGCACCTGGACAGAAAGACCCTATGAAGCTTTACTGTTCCCTGGCAAAACCTATACCAAAAATTGGTTCACGTAGAAATGGACGCAGAAAACCCCGAAACATTAATGATATATAATATAATCGGTTTATTTTTTCACGTTATAAAATGGCCACAACTAGTCTTGTAATATCTACAATGTAAATATAGATTTTGAAAATTTTAATCCAACATAAAATAAATATTTTTTGAGAAACTATAAAATAAGAATAAAAATTACATAAATGAAACTAAAAATTTGATAAATCAAAAATTGTTTATAATACTATTTAATACCATTAATAAAATTAATTAATTACTTGGAAAAAATACGTCAATTATAAACTATACAATCATTAAAATATTATAGTAGTCATATTTCAAACAACTATCATAAAATTTTCATAATCGATGACAACAGCGATAAAAGTTATAGTTATGTCGGTGCGATTATAAAAGAACAGAGGAAATTATAAATTAAGGCTAGGGAGGCTACGGTGTATTTGTAATTTTGGAGCATCTTAATTCTTAAGAGATAAGAAAATCCATTATTGTTGTTGATTTTTATAATTGTTTCCGTGGTAGTTTTGTCCTTGTGTTTGAAGGGCATTAAATTTTAAGCAATACAATCGCCAATGTGCCAAAATAGACAGAAATAATACGAGTGTCGGCGTCGTATGCAATTAGTAGTGTTACGGTGCGAGACTGCGAGTATAGAGTCGACCCATACTCGAGCTCTACTACCAGCCATGTTCAATAATCTGATTTCATTTGTTTGGACGGCATCGAAGTGATAGCCATTTTCGATTAATTATTTTAACATAAAAAATATAGTTGGGTGGAATTTTGTTACATTTTGTTTGTTATATATTTTCAATCTATTATCTTTATTGTAGTTTATGCAATTGAAGATATGAATGGCCAAACAAATTGTATATTGGACCATTACGATGTCAATTATACATTAGGATGAACATTTTTTTCATTATTCATGTATTAACTTTGATTATAGTTTTTTACTCCCTTCGTCCTAGAATAACTGACGTAACTGTATAGCTAAAATGCAAACTATATATCATTCAAATTTTATAGCAACTTAAGATGATAAAATGTTATAGTAGTTAGCAACATTTCCTAAACTAAATTTTAGGAGATTTTAGATCAAATTGGCTTAATATTTCCTAAACTAAATTTTATCCTGGATTGGATTTGGCCAATATCCAAACTAAACACTGAATTAGCACCTCAACTCGAATCAGATTGAAGACCATAAATTTTTAATTCAAGACCCAAGCATTGGACCAATTATGCAAGGGACGAACCTTTTTGACCAATTCTAGACTTTCTTTTTCTATCTTTTTTTTTTTTTTTTTTTTTTGAGGAAGCCTTTTCTATTATTTTTGTTCTCTTTGAAACAATACAATGGAAAAAAGAAAATAGAAAATATAAGAAAAATTATTTTTCAATGCCTTTTTGCATTTTATCATAAAATAACTCATATAATATACTTCCTCCTTTTTTTTTAGTTGACACGTTTCTTTAGTCACGTTTGCCAATGCACAAATGCAACCGTTAATATTTTTAATTATCGATAAGCAAAAATTAAAAGTTGATATTTTGAAAATATATACCGTGACAAATCTAACAAGACCTCACATGACTATATTTTTCATTACGTATAAATCACAAAATACGGTCAAAGGAAAGTGTGGGAATAGTGCTAAAGTCAAAACGCTTCAACTAAACAAAAACGGAGAGTAGACCGATTTTTTAATACCCGTAATAGTGAGTATATGTTAAAGTTTTGATTTTGTCGGTAATGTGTGTTTGATTGCTTAGACATTCATAAATACTCATTATCAAATGCCAATGCACGTCACATTATTTCAGGGCGACCATCACGTTATTATTAACAATCTTGTTAAAGGTTTTTTTTTTTTTTTTGGTGTTTAGAGAGCCACAAAGTATATGTTAAAGTTTTGATTTTGTGGTAATGTGTGTTTGATCGCTTAGACATTCATAAATACTCACTATCACATTATCAAATGCCATTGCACGTCACATTATTTCAGGGCGACCATCACGTTATTATTAACGTTCTTGTTAAAGGTTTTTTTTTTTTTGGTGTTTAGAGAGCCACAAAGGCGAGTGATGAGAATCGATCTCAAGATCTCCTGGAACTGGGAGGAAAGCTCTAATCGCCTGAGCTATCCCTCACTCTCACGTTCTTGTTAAAGGTAAGATTGCAAGATTACATAAATCAATCAATACCAAAGTTGATGGTCTTAGCAGGCCATAAAAATGATCGAGGTTGTGTTCTTTCTTTTTGACACAACAGAGATTGTGTTCTTTTGGAAGAGATCAACTTGACTAAGCGATCGCAATAATCTCTTGCAAATCAATCATGTTGCATAATGTACAGCTTCTAGCCTCTCAAACTTAGGACTAACATAAACTGAAATCGAAATGTTTGATTTTTTTTTTTTTTTTTTTTTGACAAGGAAATGTTTGATTACATTACGTGAATGCATCCGTAAAGTGCATGTTGTGGCCTTGTGGCTTGTGCAAAATTTAATTCCGATGATATGTCTATTTCTTTGGCCGTTTAACAGGTCTTTCCTCTTTATTTATTGGATACGTGACGTTATACTTCAACATCCAATATTCTCTCTTTAGTTAGCGTGACGTTCCTCAAAGTAATTTAATATTTTAATGTATTCACTCCTTTCAAAAATAAATGTCAATATTGACCGTTTCAGATTTATAATTATTCACTTGATTATTTTTAAATTGTCAACTTTTAATTTCCATTAATAGATATAACCATTATCGTGATTATAATAATGTTAGAGACGACTGTATAAAAATAAAAACATTGCACTTATATAGCAATCAGATTGTGACAAATGTTGTAAGTAATAAAGCGAGCCATTCAATTCAAATATAAAAAGTACAACATCTTTGATTTCACAATCGAAAAGTGATCGTAGAAATAGTAGAATTTTTATAAATGAAAACAAAGGCACAAATTAAAAAGTACAGTACCATGCAACAATACAGAAAAATAAAACAAGCTAACTGATGATGACTCGCCAAAGATCGAATATCGTCATGACTCCTTTTTATTATGCACTCTTCTAGGTAGCTCCATCTTTTAGCTTTGCTACAATATCAGCCATTTAGTGGATGCTGCAAAACAAATCAAATTCAAACAAACACATTAGATTATTGTATAAACAAGATCATCAATAGAAATCTAGAATAAATGGACCTTTATAAATCGTACTACCTCTATTAACTTTTAGTTGCAACAAAGGGGCATTTTTTGTGAAATATAAAATATTTCTTTGTTACAACTAATAATTAATGAAGTTGGTAGATTTTTTTAAATAAAATGTTCGTATTGTTAAGTAGTGATCTTTCATCTGATTGGTTAGCTAACTACTACAACATATAATCGTCTTAAGATACTACTCTGTATAAAATTTAAATGATATAAAGTTTGCATTTTAGATATATGATTGTGTCAAAATAGTTATGATTATTACGTGCATATATAAATTAAACCGGTTGTACATAAAAAATTGTCTGGGAAGGGAGGAGAGGGTATATAGAGAGAGAATTGAAGCGTACGCATTGCAGTTGGTGCTGGGGCTGATGGCGTAGGGAATGCTGACACCACATTTGCCAGGGAGACCAGCGGCCTTAGAATAGTCGATACCGGAAATGGCAGCAGCAGCACTTTTCAGGCAACCACATGCAATCTTCTTGTCAGCAGCAGTGGCAGCTGCTGAGTTGAGAGCCTTAATCCCAGTGCAGCAACCCGGCGTTGGGGCAGCGCCTCCCTTTAGGTAGGGAATGCACTGTGCAACTTTGCTAGAAACCAAGCCGCATGTTACGGCTGCCTCGGCTAGAGGTGCGGCCACAACAATGCACATTACAAGTGCGCAAGCTAGCTTAACAACAGTTGAGTTAGTCATAATTTTACGTAATTTGTTAATTTGGTTAAGAGAATGCAAGAGTATTGAGGGGTTGTTTTTTTTTCTTTTGTTTTGCACTTTTGCTTAATGGTTTAAGAAGCTTATTTGAGTGGTCTATTTATAGATAATTTCTAGGGAGTGTGAACGAATAAAAGGTAGTCTTATTATAGGTTGAAAAGTAATGTAAATGGACAAGTGGGTAGTTGGGTAATTGGTTATTAAATGCTTGTATTTCTGCTTGATTGATTGGTTATTGGATGCCAAATGTACTTTTCTAATTGGTGTAGTACATTTACCGTTGCAACATGGCGATCATCATCTATGTTACTATTTTTTCCAAGTCTCGCAACTTCCCAATTTTTGGAAAATTATTTTGCTTGCTGAGCTTCTAGCATTTTTGGTATCATGGTATGGGAGCTAAGAGCTGATATGTTGATCTTGGAAATTTGAATAATTACTTTATGTTAATTTCAACTATCAAAAACGTTAAATAGTCAAATACCTTTTAAGTACAACTATATTAATAGAAAACCCATTTTTAAAGATTTTCCATAGTATTCCAATTATGTACTTTACATTTATTTAGAGTGTTATGATGCACATTTAATGAATTCTTTATATGAGATACGATTGTGTTTATCGGTCACAAATAATATGCACCCATCTATTCTTAAGAATTACTTTGGCATGGAGAAAGGAGAATGATTTTAAATTTCAAATACTATTAATTACATACCCTAACCTACTTTTAAAGAATATAGTTAATAGTTAAGCTCAGTAGTGTTAACTGTGTGAAATATAGTTAAAGGCAATTAAACAAATGATGTTGGGTACTTATACAATTTGTTAAAGGGTCTTAAGAACATGTGATAGCTCTCCATTTGAAATTAGAAAGCGGCCAGGGTAGGCAGTCCTAAATTTTAAGACTAATGTGTTTCATGAATACAAATTATAGATTAAATTAGCTAGTATTTCCTCTATTTATAAATAGTAACATTGAAATTGACACATAGCCTAAGAAAAACTATAAGATGGGGATCAAAAGTAGAGATTTTATATTATAAAAGAGTAGTGAGAGTGAGAGATAGCTTAAGTAGTTACAGCTCCCCAGTGACGGATTCAGAAAACTTTATAAGTGGGTGCAATGTACAGAGTATTAGAAAAGATTTAAAAGTGGGTGCAATAAATTAAAAAATATATATATATAAAAACTTAAAAATAAAATAATTTAATTCGTATAAAAATGATTAAATAGAGAGATTTTTTCTAGAAAAAATTATGTCTTTTCCAAGATTTGAACATGTGACCTTTAATTTAAAAATAAGTTTTCTACCATTGAACCATATGCATTTAACATAATATATGATGAGTATTTAACTTTTATAATTAATCAAGTGGGGTCAAGTGACCCCTCTTAAGCTAAGGTGGATCCGCCCCTGGCTCCCCTCTCGGTTCCAAGAGATATTGGGATCGATTCTCATCAACTACTAATTTGTGGCTCTCTAAACACCAAAAAATAATATAAAAGAGTAGTGAAAGGGGGGTTTAGTAGAAGGGTTGAGGTATATATAATTGTTAGTGGGAGAGGGAAATAATAAAAGAGTATGTATTGAAAGGGAGGTTAGTAAAAGGGTTGGAATTAACCAAAAACTAATGAAAGGAGAAAATGTTACAATTAGAAACAAAAGGAGTAATCATATGATTCAATAGTTCTTTTTTCCCTATTTGGTTATTATGTGCGGTATGCATGTTTTCAGCATACACGATTTCATAGCACAAAGTATTGGGTGAGTCCATTTAACAATGAGTCTACGTATATAGAATACACAAAATTCCAAAAACTAATATATCCATCCAATAACTTTTATAAAATTTTCAAAACTAACATGAAATGTCTAAAAAATTATATCTACACCTCACAAGTCGAGATATTCAAAAACTTAATTATACTTGAATTCATATAAAATGTCTAATACTACAATTCAAAAACTTAATTATACTTCAATTCATATAAATTCGTCTTATTGTGATTCTGAACTCGATCATACAAAATACTTTCTCATATGATCCATTGTGTTATATTCCACATGGTGGGTAACAACGGATTAAAAAAAAATTTAAGAAAACCTGCCTGTAATTAAGGCCAATTTAAAGTAGAAGTACCTAAAAACTTTACAAAAATGAATGATAACAGAAAATAATTGAGTAGAACTCAGAAAAACAAAAGTAGTACAAAATATAAATGATTGAAAAGTCATTGCTTTGAAAGACTAGTACCATTTTTCTCCCTCTTGATTCATTAAAACAACTGTTGGCAGCCTTGCTATACCTTTCATTAGTATTCCTTTTCATAAATTTATTTTAAGATAAAGATGTTTAGCCTGGCTATTAAGAATACATGGCGGTTTATGCATCAAAATTGATTCCATTTCATGAATAAACCAATATACTCTTTAAAAGTTTCAACAATTATCACCATGCTAAACAATCAAAGAATTACTAAACCAATAGTATATAGTTGAATTTTTTAAGTTTAAAACAATTGATTCTCTAATGGTGCATGTTCAAGTGACTCGTGATATGTTCAATATATATTTACTAGCTAACTTATCAATGAGCTATCCATTAAAAGAAACATTGCTTTAAGTATCCAGTCTATTTGTAGTCTCTTTTTTCGAATCAAATTGTTCTTAAACATAGCTTAGTTACCACTTGCCGTAGAATATAAAAGATTATATTTATGTTAAGGCATAGTCTTCCCAAACAATATATGAAATGTCCCACATGTTAAAAGATGAGAGACTTAAACATTTTATAAGATTAAAGAGCTATTCTTTGCCATATGGTTAGGGATGAAACCTCTTTAGACTTGTAAAGTGGATTTTCTCTCTTAGTGACAAGTGCGGCCAACCCCTTTTTTATTTATACCTTTTTGATTCAAAAATGTAACAATATTAAACTTCTTACATAATAGAGAAAACAAACTTGAAAAAAAGCAAGGGCGCGCAGGTGCTCTACTTAGCCCGATCCAACTCCCTGTAGTGATATGATATTTCACATATATTTCAGTGATAAGTTCTACATAAGGACTGGTGATCTTATTATTTGTCAAATACTTAGCTACAATTGTATTCTTACTGAGTATGTTCCTTTTATTATGGTATTTCCGATTAAGAATCCTAAAGGTTTCTTATCTTTCACATATCCTTTGAAAATTTTTGACATAAATTGAAATTTCTTCGAATACAATTAACAACTAACAAGTGACAAGTGTAACCTAGCGTTTGATTGATGTATCCATCAAGGCATCAATTGTTAATCGTGAAGGTCTTTTCCAAGGGGTTATTTGATGAACATAATGTCATTACTAGTGTTAATTAAACTGTTAATTAATTTCTAATGCTTCCTCAATTGGTCCTACTGATGTAAAGCTGAAAACTACCCATAATTAAGTACTTAACTCTTAAGGGTACATGGCATATTTGAAAGTTTAAATTCTTGTTTTGAGAAGAAGCGATGTAGTTGAAGGCAAATTAATTTTGATGAGGAAATGGGAAAAAAAGTAAAGAAACCACGGCAGTGTCATTGTCAAATGTAATCAATGGGATGGCATGAAGTCTCAACTGTCCAAGAGCCATTAATTACCCATCTCTAGATTTCTCTTGTGGGGCTTTAATTTGAATCTTGAAATTTTATAATATGAACGCAATTGAATTATTAAGGTCCCGTTATATATACCTCGCTCATTTTATTCACTTATAAAGATGATAGTCGGTAAATTTGATTAAATAAACATTATACATAAGAAAATTAAAGGTGGCTATGAAACATAACATACACGACATAACTAAAAAAATTTAAAATCATCAAAAATTATGTTCGTCGTGAGATTTCATGTATTTATTATAAACGTGTAAAATAATCAAATACTCTGTACTACTGTTGTTTGCTCTTTAATTTGATTAAAGGATACCATTATTGTTCATCATATAGATGTATATATAAATTGAAGTGGGGCTAGAGTAAGGTCTTCCATGTTGAATCTAGGGTTTTATTACACGCTCTCAGATCTTTTGTCATAAATTTATAGACTCGTAATCCAAAAACATATGGATTTCATTAAATAAAACATTGAATTGTATTATTGTCGACCAACTTAAAAAAAAAACAGAAGAAAAAAAAAACATATCATGCATGCATGCATGCATGTAATAAGTTTGCACATGAGAGCAAATCAACTTTCATGTCATGATCTACATTATTCGAATTTGAGGCTCAAAGAAAGCAATATGCAATTACGTATACGTGTAATATGAACATTAAGTACGAGTACTAGTAGAGCTGTTGTAGGTTGCGAAGATGACAAGACATTGGCCAAAAATTTTGATTGAACCAACAATCCATGCATAGTTGGTTTAGTATTTATTTCTGTAGTTTTCAACATAGGTTACATGGCAACAACCTATGGTATGAGGTATTGGCTTAATTATAGGTAAGGTCGGGTCGGGTCTAAATTTAAACTTGAGTTATAGTACAAGTACTAAATTATTGTGTCAATGCGAGTTAAAATCAAAATTGGGTTTTTTTTGGGATCAGTTTTGGGTCGGGTTAGGTTTTGACACCTCTAAGTATAAGAACAGTAAAGACTCTAAAAAAATAGAGGGTTTGAGGCTGTGTTCAGTTCAACTTATTTTGCTTATTAGATTTGATCTAAACGTTTCTTTTTTTTAGATCTGATCTGACCTAATTATTACTTGATTTGACTGAAATTAACCTTATATTAGGTACTAAGAAAATAATATATCAAATGAAGTCTTATTATTAGATTTACATAAATGTTTATTTTTCAAATATGTAATTTTTGCAATTTTTTATCACATAATTAAAAATATTTTAGTGATTAATAAGTGCACATAAAATAATGAACTACTACGTATTATATGAGCTTAATTTTTCTGATATGATATGATTTAAACTTATTTTTTTCTGATATAATCATCACTAAAAGAATCTACTTGTATAAGGTGGAACTAAACATAACTTAAATCATGGATTACTCATTCGAAATCCTCCTCTTACATTTGTAATTTGTAATGCCCTCT